TCGTCAAATGATTCCCAGTCTCGGGGACACAGATTATTCTTCCATGTACTATAGGATATAATGCAATCGGTTTACACTCGCGCGCAGTTATCGCATAAACTGCAATATGAAATCAACACCTTTCTTTGTTTTTTTTTTTAAATATATTGGTAAAGTGATCATGATGCTGATTAGATACTTCTCTATTCCAATTTTAAGTTTTTAAATGTGTTCATATAATTGCAGTCATGAATTTTTTACGACGTTACGATGTAACATAATGACGTTACGTTACAAATAATGACGTTCCTCACGCAAATTTCAATGAAAACAATACTATAATGTAAAATCTCTTCTTGAAAAAGTATAATAGATATCTAAAAAAGAAAAACAGTAATGAAAAGCTAAAAGTCTCTACTATCTACATGTATATTGAAATCCTCATTCATTTTTGAGTTAAGGCACATTTTGATGGTTCATGGCTCTAGCTCTTTCTGAGAAAGCCTTTCAAAACGCTACTCCTCCTACAGGTTTGATCTGATTTCATTATAACTTGGCACACAAGTAGACTGTACTAAGATACATAACTCGGTGTATCGGTTTTTGATTTCAATGAACGGTGTTGCCATGGTTACTAAAAATAGAAATTTCTGTGAAATACATTCAAAACGCAACTCCTCCTACAGTTTTGATCTCTTTTCAATATAACTTGGCACACAAGTAGACTGCACAAAGACACATAATTCTGTACATCCATTTTTGATTTCGATGAACGGTGTTGCCATGGTTACTAAAAATAGAAGTTTTCTTGAAATACTTTCAAAATGCTACTCCTCCTACAGTTTTGATCTTATTTCAATATAACTTGGCACACAAGTAGACTACACAAAGATACATAATTCTCTATACCAGTTTTGGATTTTGATGAACGGTGTTGCTATGGTTACTAAAAATGGAAATTTTTTGAAATACTTTCAAAACGCTACTCCTCTTACATGTTTTGTCTGAATTCAGTATAACTTGGCATACTAGTAGACTACACTGAGATACATAATTGTCATTGTTGCTTTTTGATTTTGTTGAATGCAAAATTATTTTACAAGGCTACTCCTCCTACAGTTTTATTCTGATTACAATAAATCTTGCCACAAAAACAAACTAAACCAAGGATCAGTATTCTATTTATTACTGTTGCAAGGTTTCAAGTCCAAGTGCTACTTTTATCTTCCTTTTTAAGTACAACCAGTAGAGCTACAGTCTCATCAGAGACTTCTGGTTTTTATAATGTGTTAAGCACACGATGAATATGTCCATACCCGTCGGTCTAAAATAAATCATCCAAAAAAAAAATCTTAATTCTGTTTTTTTTATACTGATAATTGAAACAAAAATAATAATTTATTTCTTTGATATGCAAACTACTCTGTACGCACAAGTTTGCGCATAACCTTGCGTAATGAAAACTCAAGTTAACCCAATTAACATATCGGCAGGAATAATCACAATATCATTGTTTTGAAAATGTTTCGGCAATAACCGTTTTTATAGAAAATGGTACACTCTGGAAGTCAATTGTCTATAATGTTTAGCTGTCAAAATAATAAAATTCAAAGACTAATAAACACCCAAGGTAAGATTGTACCTTAAGGCGCCTTCACCCAACTCATTTATATATAAGTGAAGAGAAGGTTGAAGAAAATAGCATTTTTGATTAGCTAAGAAATTTTATTGACACCTGTATCAGTTGTTTCATACATTCGTGAATATTTTTATCCGTGCTAAATATACGTAATATTTCTTTCTTGCATAAAAGTAAATTTTCATACAGATATTCAATATTGGTTGCATTGCGAGATTGCATTGTAGAAAATTGCGAATTATATATTAATAATTGAGAAAGAAATAATATTTTGAGGCATTTGAGATTTTATTTGAAAAATATGTTTATGTATTGCAAAGTTTTCCTTTTTACCTTTTAAAGAGAGAAAAAAAGCTCATAGAAAAAATGTCATATATGACAATTGTTGAGTCATAATAGATAAGTTTTCACACCTGTATAAATTTAAAGATGTGAGCCTGATCTGCGCATGTTTTATAAATATAGCATTGTATTGATTTTACTTTGTTCCCGTGGCCTGTAATGCTGAATAAACATCTTGAAGCATTAGCAATTGTATATGTGTAATAAAGACTGATTAAGACCGGGAAAATAAATAAAAGGTATTCATAGACAAATATACAGTCACTCAAATTCTCTTCAGAGGTATCCAAAGAATGCCATTTAACTGCATGTCTATACATATCAAATTGTGACTCATTTCCACGCCTAGGGATTTTTGAATAGAAATTTGAATCTTACCTGCCATTCAGTGTTTCATCTGAGGTGCATTACGAACAGGAAGAACAAACATTCTCATTTGTGCCCAGGAGCTATGAAAAGGACGAACAAACATTCTCATTTGTGCCCAAGAGCTATGGAATAATAAAGTAAGATAGATTTAGTTTGAATATATCTACTTTTCTAATTTTCCTAGCTACATTAGATATTTTGTTTTTGTGGAGGTTTAATTTTGATTGGCTTAAATGTAATTTGTAATCTTTCAGATTAATTCATGTTAATTGCAAATAATATTTCCGCAACAAAGTAAGGAACACAAGTAAAATGTAAAATTAACCGTTTGCAGCTATACACCATTTTACATGTACGTGCAAATCAGAACGTTTACACAAAAAAGCAGAAGCAATCAAAATTTTACCTTTTTATATGAGGCCATTTATTTATTTACTTTCTTACCCATATCAATGATAATTTGAAAAATATATGTTTTGTTTTGTTTTGTTTTGTTTTTTTTTTTTTTTGGGGGGGGGGGGAGGAGGGAGCATTTATTTTACACCAAGAATAAAAATAGAAACACCTTGTGAAACAACATAAAATTGGCAACTCCATATGTCTGCATTTTGTTAGAATTTATCAATGCATTTACCTTTAAATCTTTTAAATGGGGTACAATGTCATTCTCTTTTTTTCTGAAATGACATAAATCTTTCAAACACACAAACCCTTCTGTCACGGAAGTAAATGTTACCACAATTAAGTCAAAGGACATAATTTATTTTTCGTAATTGAAATTTAAATAAACTTGTAATTAATGAAATCTTTTTTTTTAAATGAAGAAGGGACGAAAATAAATGGTGATAATTTTCATTTATAAAGATTTTTTTCACAAGACACTTTTTTTGTAGGAAAAAAGTTAATTAAATCTTATGTTATTTAGCTATTAGATAATTTTACATTTTTTTCCAAAAAAAGTAAGTAACATAGGTAATTTCACATCATTATTTTTGCCATTTTTTTTACCATAACGTGGTATTATAAATATCCCTGGCCAGATGACTGATAATGACCGAGCCAATATTGGACGTCTGAAAAACTGGTTTAATGGTTTTAAATACATTTTTTGGCATTGCTGTCAAAGGGTAGACAATTACCTGGCATGTCTTAAAAATCAGTCTTAGTTGTGTACAAAATTTAGCCTTATAAATTAATTCATTTGAAATCATTGCCTAATGATAAACAGTATATGTGTTGCATCATACTTTGACTGGATATAAGCGGCCTAAGACCTGGACGCAAATAGGCTTGGCAACCAAAATAAAATAATTCAACAATGTATATCATAGTACATATTTCATTATTTAAGGAAATGAAATTTTCCTCATAAATTTTCTAATCACATGTATTAATTAATACAAAATTTGAAATAAAATTGTGAATGTTGTAAGCGATAGACGTCAATGGTGCTAAGAAAACTTTGTTTTTCTGTTTTATTTATTTTGAATTAAAAAAAATTAACAATAAGTGTGGAAATAATCCTTGATAACAGAATAATTGAGGTGAATTCTTGAAATCTGGTTTAAATTAGATACAAGCTGATAATAATTATACGTTTTTTTTTTAAGATCACCGGGATCAATGTGAACAATGCCTACCTTGTGCATATGCCAGATACTTACAGAATCAATGACACAACATATATTTTACTCCATTATAAGTACTTTTTGCTTGAAATGTAGATGTTTATGTGAATTTTTATTACAGCAGTAGCTAAAATTCTACATAAATACTGCTAGTATGTAAAATTCATCATCAAACATCCCTCATGATAAACCATCTCTACATAATATTTTCATCCACTGAATATTAGCTTCTTTACTTCTTACGAAACCCACAGTCGCTTATCAATGCTTTAACGCTGCTAAGCAAGCAATATGACTGTGTAAATTTCTTGAGCAGTGATTCTTCCATCATTAAAACACACAATGGCGCACATATAAATAAAACAACGTTCAAAGTACTTCTTTATGTGATTATTTATAACACATGAATATAAACACTATCTCTCTTTGGTTATTAGTATGGGAATTAACTTTAATTTGCAGTTATTTCAGAAAGCGGTTTATTGTGTAGATAAATTCTCAGTAAACCAGAGCACCCCTGATTTCCAACCAATTTATTCAGTCTTGCAGCCGGCCGGTTTAGAGAAGTTTGACTGTCTATATGATTTATTCCAAAAAATTCGTTTACAGTTTACACTGATGATGAACTCGGCCGTCGGCCCGTCTGACATAATTTTATGTTACACACTTTCTCATTCATCTTATATGACAGTCAAAAGACTATTTGTTTCACATTTGATTTACAATTTCATGTAAATACGTCGGAAAATTGATTGAATTTCCAGGGATCCCCAAGGACGTAAAAATCTTTGACTAAAATTTTTGCCTGTGAAGAAAATTACAGGTTTAGGGATTTCAAGGAAAACATACGTACAAGTACCTGTATGTTTTCACAACCATCTGCAATTTTGGAAGATTTACAATAAGTTTTCGAAATTTCTTTTTCCCTGCTAGTGATGGGGCTCAACAAAATATGGCTCCCAAAATGACATTTTGTTAATAGAAGATTGTCTTCAATTCCATCCATTTATTCATTCTATTTCAGGACTTTAGCAACAGGAATTATGACTACCGTCCAGGGACAAGATATAATTTCTTGCTGTTTCTGTCCTAATTCTGTGGAACATCACTGCAACCCTTGCCACATTGGCATCTGCAACGAATGTGTATCCTCACACCTTGCCGACAAATCAAGAGAACACGAAGTTGTAGACTATAAATCACGGAAAAAGGACACACTTGCTTTTTCTTTTTGTAACACACACGAAGAAAACCAATGCGCGACATTCTGCAAAACCTGTGGAATACCAGTTTGCCATGATTGTATTACGGGATCTCACAAAGGTCACGCTTTTATAGGAATAAAAAATATAATTGAAAAATATAAGTCCCGAATAAAAGCTGATACCCATGAATTGCAAAATATTATTGTTCCCAAATTCACTGAAGTCGGGTCTCTTATGCCTGCTGCTGAGTTTGGCAAAATTCTCTCAGAAATAAAGGACCAAGAAGATAAAATGTGTGAAGCAGTACATCAAGAAGCTGTTCTATTACGAGAATTAGTGAACAAACAGAAAAAAGAAGCTGAAGGGGCGAACGAGGAAAACACGACCTTGGTAGAAAACACTGAAAAAGAGCTTAATGCAATAATGCAGAAAAACAATAGTCTTCTCAGATCGAGTGATGCCACAGCCATAATAAACTACAAACCATTTGATCCAAACTTAAGAAAGGGTCCACAAATACGTAAAATTCATTGTCCAAACTTTTCTCCCAGTCCAATTAATCAACATCAAATTCGAAGTATGTTTGGTTCACTTCAGTTCAGCGATGTTTCAAACAGGCAGTCTGGTATTTTAAAGATGATGGACAGTCCTACACTTCTTGAAACTATTCAGAGTCCTTACGGAAAATCAGGAAAAAAGTTGTGGCAGGTGAAATGTATTGGAAAAGATGAGATCTTGACAAGTGGAAATGGCAAAACACTAAAAAAAATAAGCAAGAGTGGTTCTATCATAGACGATATAATAACAAAATTTGATATTTCAATATTGTCTACTAATGTATATGAGGAACCAGTGTTCACAGCAGCGTCCTTACATGATACGAAAGTTTACGTTTATAGCGATGGTAAAGTTGGCATACTTTTGGAATTAGGGGATTGGTATCCGAGAGGTATTTGCCATACTAAAACAAGAGATTTGCTGGTTAGCATGCGCTCCAAGGATTGGAGTCAATGTAAAGTAGTGTTGTATTCAGGAAAGACACAGATTCAAGTGATTCAATATGACAGAGAAGGAAGGCCTTTGTTTTCTACCAGCTCCCGCTCCCAGCTTCGTCTGACAGAGAATGGTAATGGAGATATATGTGTTGCCGATTACTCTGCAAATGCTGTTAAAGTCGGTGACTCGTTTGGAGAATTAAGATTCAAGTATCTGGGTAATATCTCCACATCATCCGAGTACATGGAGTTTCAGCCATCAGATATTGCTGCTGACATCAACCACCAAATCCTGATAAGTGATTTTGCAAACAATATAATTCACATCATAGACTGTGATGGGAAATTCCTTCGTTATATTAAACGCCCGTGTTCTGCAGGAATAAGTATTAACACCGACGACAATCTCGTTCTGGGCGAATACTACACGGGGAAGATCAGAATTATTAAATACCTGGAGTGACGCTAGATACAAAACTTCCATACAGTTAGTCTAATAACGAGACTAAAGACAGAATTTGTCGTGAAGAAATTTATCGTTTACGACTGATATTATAATTGTTAATGTTATTTTGTTTGTACTATGCCTTCAATCATATCAATTGTCAGTATGTGCAACAAATAAATCATTATTCTTTTTTCCACCGTTTAAAAATATATTTCATTTCCTACATATTCCCTTGTGCATACAAGGAAGATTAAAGGCAAGTGCACATGTATGATTTTTCCAGAATTACGATGACTATTTAAAAAAGACATGATTGTTTATCGCATTATTTAAGGATGAGTCATATCATTTAAAAGATAAACATTGATGAACGTTATCGCAGTTTGTATATACCGCTGAGTAAATCTGTTAGAAGTACAAAGACAAATATATTGTATGCGAGTTTATGTGTAATTGTCAGCATGTCAAGATTTAAACCCTTTATGAAAATATGAGTGACTTAATACACAATACATTTGACACCCCCCCCCCCCAAAAAAAAAAAAAAAGATGAACTTAAATAGATGAAGTTATTTGGCTCTTCTTTTACAATCTTGGTATCCTGTATGTAAACATTACATTGTACAAACATGAACAAAGAAATATATCAAACAAAAGATCAAAGCAATTGAATCTGGCATCCTTAATAATCTCTCTACTTTATCATTCTGACCAACTTTTTTGAATCGAGTGAAGCCCCTGATGCAAGTTTAAACCCTTTACACACCGTGAATATTAATTTTGCTAAATGGACACGGGTCATAATTTGCTATACTATTTTTACAATATCTTCCAAGCTTGTCAAGAACATTCTATTTATCACTGTTGGTCAAAACTATATCATTTTAGATAGAGAAAAGTGTTTCATTCACATATTTAGCTGCAGATAAAGGTCTGTATGGAGGGGTATTTTTATTGTTCAAGCTTTGATTTTGTTCTTGAACGTGTTCACAATTCTTTGGCATTGTATTTTATTTTTGATTTTATTTGATTTTTTTTTTCTTGGTAGGTCCACATATTGTAAAATTGCGAGTGTATCGACAAGGTTGAATAAAGAGGAGTGACTTGTAGATTTCGATCTTTCTGGTGAATCCACCAGCTTAATATTCTTTTGTGTATAAACTATTTTTTTTTACTTTCATGAATTTTGTGTAGACTTAGGTATTGAAGTAGGGTCACTAAGTCTATGCAAATGAATTTTTTTTTTTTTATGATTTTAGTAGATCCACCAAACTAAGACCACTTTAAGTATATCAATCGGCAATGTGGACAATATATCATACCGTACATGTATTCTTATTTGCATTTTGGTGGATCCACCTAGTATTTGGAAACAAAAATTGGAAATGCGTTGTTCTTCGATTTTTTTTATGTTTTGGTGAGTGCACCGAACTCCTTCCTTGTAAGATATTTATGGACAATATTAGTTGTACGTTTCTGCATTTTGGGGGTTCGAGCACTAAGTTTCTCTCAATGGATTGTGTCAGTGTCTTAAAACTGGTGGATTCACCAACGGCGTTTTTAAGTTTATGAAAAGTACTCATCATTTTTAAAATTAATTGGTAATTTCACCAATTCCAATTTTTTTTTTTTTTTTTTTTTTGTAAATTTCAGAAGAATTTCCATTTCGTATTTTTGGAAGAATCAATAAATTTTCTTAAAGATGTTTAAATTGGTTTGTTGGTGAGTTCACTAATTTTTTTAATGAATTGTAGAATTATGTATCTTCTAATTTATTTTTGTTTCTTGAGGGAACCACCAAGATCAATCTTTATTTGAATAAGATAGTGATAATTCAATTTGGTGGATTCACCAACCCTTTGACTTTTGTCATTAAATACGTATTGAACAAATATTATAGATGTGTTTTTATGATAACAGAAATAGTTACTGCACGAATTCTTGATCTATTCAACAAGGAAAATGAATAAAAATAATCATCATTTTCTGAATTCGCATTGTGTTCATTTTTCATTTCGTACTAAAAAAAGAGGACACGAATAGAAAATTCTCTTTCTTAATCGAAACATTTTTTTAAAGATACAAATGCTCTTTCTGACATATATTATTTGAATATTTCAGAGCCAACTGATAAAACATAATGAAGGATGTAAACGAAAAAAAATTCAAATATCGAGTTTCTGGTTAGTTTTTAGCTCACCTGAGCTGAAAGCTCAAGTGAGTTTTTATGATCACATTTTGTCTGTAGTCCGTCTGTCCGTCAGTCCGTCTGTCTGTAAACTTTCCACATTTTCAACTTCTTCACCGGAACCACTGGGCCAATGTCAACCAAACTTGCCACAAAGCATCCTTGGGTGAAGGGGATTCAAGTTTGTTCAAATGAAGGGCCACACCATCTTTCAAGGGGAGATAATAAAGAATTGGTGAAAAATTAATAGCATCATTTAAAAATCTTCTTGTCCAGAACCACAGGGCCAGGAAAGATGAAACTCATGTGGAAGCATCCTCAGGTAGTGTAGATTCAAGTTTGTTCAAATCATGACCCCCGGGGGTAGGGCGGGGCCACAATGCAGGATCAAAGTTTTACATAGAAACAAAAGGGAAAAATCTTTAAAAATCTTCTTCTCAAGAACAGCAAAGGCATGATGAGTCATATTTATATGGAAGCATCCTCAGGTAGTGTAGATTCAAGTTTGTTCAAATCATGACCCCCGGGGGTAGGGCGGGGCCACAATGCAGGATCAAAGTTTTACATAGAAATAACAGGGAAAAATCTTTAAAAATCTTCTCAAGAACAGCAAAGCCGTGATGAGTCATATTTATATGGAAGCATCCTCAGGTAGTGTAGATTCAAGTTTGTTCAAATCATGACCCCCGGGGGTAGGGCGGGGCCACAATGGAGGATTAAAGTTTAACATAGAAATAAAAGGGAAAAATCTTTAAAAATCTTCTTCTCAAGAACAGCAAAGCCATGATGAGTCACAGGTAGTGTAAATTCAATTTTGTTCAAATGATGACCCCCTGGGGCTAGGGTGGGGCCCAATGGGGGATCAAAAATTTTACATAAGAACATAAAAAAAAAAGTATTTCTACGCAAGAACAGAAAAACTATGTTTAGTCATATTGATAAGGAAGCATTCTCAGGTAGTGAAAATTCAATTTTGTTCAAATGACAACCCCTTTGGGTAGGATGGGGCCCAATTTGGGATCGAAAGTTTTACATTAGAACATATAGAAAAAAATATTTCTTCTCAAGAACAAAAAAGCTATGTTTAGTCATATTGATATGGAAGCATCCTCAGGTTGTGTAGATTCAAGTTTGTTCAAATGATGACCGCTGGGATAGGAAGTAGCCACAATGGGGGATCAAGTTTTTACAATGGAAGACATGGGAATTTTTTAAAAAATCTTTTCAAGTACAACAAAGCAATTTGTTGTATTGACATGGGAGCATCATCAGGTAGAATATAATTCAAGCCCCCCCCCCACCCCCCCCGGTAATCTTTTCAATAATGAACTGCTTTGTGATTTTGCCTTGCCAATGTGCTCAGGTGAGCGATGTGGCCTATGGGCCTCTTGTTTGTTTGTTTGTTTTTTTTTTTTTGGTTTTTTTTTTTTTTGTTTTTGTTTTTTTTTTTAATTTAACCAGCCGTTGGTACTCCAACATATACATGTTGGTGATTATCGGTCAGTTCCCAAAACCCTGAACAATTTGATTTTTTTCAAAGTCTAAGGGCACACAATTCTAGAATATGGACCAATCAATATACAATTCAAAGTTGATCTGTACATCAGCAATATAAATATAAAGAGACATATCAAACATTCAGCTCATTATCAAGAAGAACAGAATGAACAAGTATGTAAAACAGTTTATTATAAAAAAAATTAAGAATACGAAGTAGACTCTTTAATTAATAATGTAAAAATAATGCATTATCTTTTTAATAAACATAAATCTAGTATGTAGAATTTAAAGAAAGGATATGATTTTTACTCTAAGTTTTAGGTGTATCTATTTTAAATAGCACTTGTTTGTAATTATCAATCAAGCTGTTTTCATATATTTGTATTTTAAGTTTTTTTTTTTTTTTTTTTTTTTTTTTTTTTTTTTTTTTTTTTTTAAAAAAAAAAAAAAAAAAAAGGTAGGATCCTTGGAGGTCACCAGAAAAATCCGAAAAATTTCAAAAGTAACCAGGTAACGTTAAGTTTTACTCGCCGAAATGTGGCTGACTCGGCGTTAAACAATAACAATCAATAAATAAAAGTTTAAGGACAGTATCATTTGTGAAAAAAAAATGATCAAAATGAAACTCTGATTTGAAAATCGTCAATAGAAGAGACCTTCCAAATTCACCAAAGTCAATACAAACACAAAAAAGATTATTTAATTAGAAGAATGTATTTAAGTTTAAGAGCATAGCTTTCGTTATATAAAAAGTCAATAGATATGAAACTAGAACGTTACCTGCGAGTCACAAATATAAGGAGCTAAAGAAAACGTCAGATTGTTATCAACAAAATGCATTATCAGAAATACAAATTGCGGTGTATCCCTCCATCTTTTATGTCTTCACCAAACGCAAGAACTTGTTTATTGAATATAATCAGGAGCATTGAGACGTGTCGTGAATCACAAGAAAGCATTGATTGAACTGATCAAGAATTGTGTAATGTTATAACAAGGGAAATGGAGAGTAAGATTCCAAAATTTGACTGGTCTTATAGGTCACGTAAAAAATTCCGTACACAAAAACCTTACTGGAATAATGAACTCACTGATTTATGAAGTACCATGTTTGATAAAGAAAAAGTGTGTATAAAGTACAAAAAAGAAAAAAAAACACGCATTAAAACAAAGAGCATTTGAGTAGTTAAAAAAGCTCAACAAGAACTCAACATACAGGGTGTTTCAGAAAACATGCAATCATTTGCTTTCCTCACGTTATTGGTATGCAAACAGAAATGTATAAAAGTTTTATTTAAAATTATAGTAAATAGGCTCAAGATTTTAT